GGCGGCGGTGCGGCCGGCAGCCCCGCGCGGTCCACGTTGCATCCCCCGGGCCACGGCCCCGAGCGACTCCAGGACCGCCAGCGGGCGGGGGCGGGAAATTACAAAAGTAACCCGAGCAGCCGCGGCGTAAAGTTACAAAGAAAGCGGACCTCAAAAGAAAAAAAGGGCCTGCACGCAGCGCCTCGGCGGATTCCCGTGCGCTCCGGGAACAGATCTTGGAAAGCTGCGAAATTCACCAGAAAGAAGCCGGCAAACAAACAAAAGTCGTCCCCCAAAGAAGAGGGTCTCCTCCCGGCTCGCCTGGAGTCCCGCGGGGCAGCGACGCGCCGGCGGCGGCTAAGAAGCCGAGCTGAGGTGTGCGGGGCCAGGGCGAGCCGCCGGTGAGAGGGAGGGCAGGAGGCTGAACGCCGGGGAAGATGCGGCGGGCGAGGGCGCGGCGCGGGGGTTTTGAGGCCCGGCGGGGCGTGGGGCGGGCCGGCGGGCGGCGGCTGTCAGTGGGGGCTGGAGCGCAACCGTCCACACGTGGAGCGCAGCCCCGACCCAGGGGCCGACGCAGAGTGGGCGGAGACAGAGTTAAGGGGCGAACGGGTTGGAAGGAACAGGGGGAGTTAGGGGCTGGGGGAGGGGAAGAGGAAGGAAGGGGGTAGGGTGAAGGGAGGGGAGAGGACTGAGTTTGGGGAGAAGGGGGGCAAGCCTGAGAGGAAGACCAGGGCTGGAAGAGGGGCTTGGAAGGAGGGATTGGCGAGCCCGGGTGCGAGAGGAAATGAGCGGGGGATGGGGGCGAGGTTAGAGCGAGGAGAGAAGTGGGAAAGGGGGGGGCAGCGGCCTGGGGGCCGGCTGGAGGGGGCCAGGCGTTAGTCGGCTTTGCTTCCCGTCCCCCTCAATTGGCCGCTAGCTCTGTTTTGACTGTACAAAGCGAGTAGACGACGGGGGAGGGGGCGGTTAGGGACCGGATTTGGGAAAGGAGGCAGCAGCCCCTTCCCCTCCCCCTCTGCCCTCGCCGGGCCGCGGACCAGGGACGAGGGTCTCTAAAGGCGCTTGGCTCGGCTGGACCCGCAGCTGAACTTCCCCTTGTCGGGCAGAGGCCACAGGGTTGAGGAGGAGAACGGGTACTCCCGCGAGGACCCAGACCCAGACCCGGGGTGGGGTAATTCGCAGCCAAGTAGGAATAGAGACTCGCGCGGGACTTGGCTGCAACCTCAATCCAAGGAGGCCCGGCCCTCTCCCCATCGCCCTCCTACCCCCACCTTCCCCCCCGGATAGGCGTCAGTCTGTGGGACCCGAACAGCGGCTGGGCGTTTCCAGATTGAAATGCGCCCTCCACCTCCAAGAGGGAGCTCGCGCGGCCGCGGGGGGCCTCGGCTACATGCCGGCGCCGTGGTCCCGGGGAGTCCGCGCAGGGGGTGTGCTCCGGAGTGACCCCTGGCAGAGCTCTGCCGGGGTTTGCAGCCAGAGAGGAGTTAGAGCCCCTGGTGGCGGGGGTGTGGTGGGGAGGGGCACGGGGGGGACCACAGAGCTGGTAAATGGGTCTTGGGGCATAGCCTTGGTTCCTGGCATGGACTCCTCATTAATGATTAAGCCCTAGCGATTGGTGCATCCAGGCTGGCGACCTGCCCTCTGAACCCTTAGAACTGCCTTTAGGTTCACAAGCCTCTGGGGTCTTCCTTTGTGGCCCTGCTTTCATGAGGTCTCTGTAAAGCCCTAGTCGTCTCTTAACCCATGGCACTGCATAATTAAAAATCAAACATTCCTGAAAACTGAAAACTAAGGCTAACTATCCAAACACAGTTTAGGAAACAGTACAAGAGAGCAATGTCTGGATTATTCAGGCCTAGGGAACTTCACTTTAAAGATGTATATATATATATATATATATATATATATATCCCCCCACCCCCTCGCAGCCTGAATTGCCCAGATGTGCTATTTGGCAGTTAAAATTCTCTGAGAATTGGCATAACTCCCTTCTCTATTTTCCAAATGTAGTCAAAGAGTCTGACTTACAATATTCTCATAAGTCCTTAAAAAAAGGTAGGAGTCACATAATTTCATGTGAGACACCAATTTGTACGAATTCAAAGAAATTAAAAGACAGTAGTAGAGGTATTTGTCATGCACTGTGCTTCAAACAAATGAAACCATTTTAACTAAAGGAACTAAATAAAGTAACTATCTCCTGGCTGAAGGTCGTGTTTTAATTATACTCTTTAAAACATTTAACCTTGTTAAATGGATTTTTGTTAATACTTACATAGCTTCAGGGTTCATTCCTGTCTGTCACATAAAATCTTCTAAAATGCTCTAAAATTGCATATGCATGTATCCTTTGACTCAACAATTCAACTTCCAGAAATCTGTTTAAAAGATATGCACGCAAAAGAAATGATGAATGCATTCATCTGTTCATTGCAGCACTGTTTGTAATAGCAAAATATTAGAAACACAAATGTTCCATCAGTAAGAAAATGTTTGAATGTAGTTTAATATATTCAATTAAATACTATATAGCTGTAAAAATTGAATGGGGATCTCTGTCCAGTCCTATGGAGTTATCTCTAGATTATGCAATTCAGTGGGGGCGGGGGGAAAGCCAGAGTACAGACAGAAATAGGCAAATCCATTGAGTTAGGAAGAATAAAGGTTATCAATGTCTGGGGTGGGGAGTAGGGAGAAGGGAGTGAGAATTATTGTTGAATGGGTACAGAATTTCCACAGAATGATGAAAAAAGTCTGAAAATTGTGATAATGGTTGCACAACATTATGCATGTACTTAATGCCCCTGAATTGTATACTTAAGTATGGCTAAAATGGTCATTTTATGGTATGCATGTTTTACCAAAAAAAAAAAAAAATAGTACAAGGTGTAGGATATTGTTGTATGCTACTTGATGGTGTGTGGCTGTGGGTGCATTTTTTTTAAAGATTTTATTTATTTATTTGAGAGAGAGAGAGAGAGAGCATGAGAAGGGGGAGGGTCAGAGGGAGAAGCAGACTCCCTGCTGAGCGGGGAGCCCGATGCGGGACTCGATCCCGGGACTCCAGGATCATGACCTGAGCCGAAGGCAGTCGCTTAACCAACTGAGCCACCCAGGCACCCTGTGGGTGCATTTTTAAAAATAGAAATGTAAACCAAATCTAATAAAAATGGTTATCTTAGGGAAGGAAGAAGATAATGAAGAAGAGACAATGATGGAAGATAGATGTTTGTAAATATGCCTTGTTTTATAGTTCTAACTTTGGAACCATGTATATATTTTATATAATTAAAGACAAAATTAAATTTAGAAAGAACGCCTAGGGGCACCTGGTTGGCTCAGTCAGTTAAGCATCTGACTCTTGATTTCAACTCAGGTCATGATCTCGGGTTGTGAGATGGAACCCCACCGGCACGTCAGGTCAGGCTCCACAGTCAGTGTGGTGTCTGCTTGGGATTCTCTCTCTCCTTCTGCTCCAACGCCCACTTCATGCGTGCGCTCTCTTTCTCTCTCCCTCACTTTCTCCCTCTCTCAAAATAAATAAATAAAATCTTAAATAAAAAGAAAGAGCAATGCCTAAAAATTTAGAACTAAAACAAATGAACCTATTTATCACACTGGTGGCGTAACCAGAGGGAATAATTATTTAAGCTGTTATTTTAACACAATATTTGAAATGTACATGTTTAGTAGGATATAATCTAAGGATGTAATGAGCCAAATTCAAGAAATTACATTCAAAGGTGGTGATATGAGAGAGGGAGAGAGACAGAGATGGAGAAAAATATTAGAAATGATTTCAGCATAAGAGAATGGAGATACATAAAATAAAAATAAAAATGTTGTAAACTTAAATTGAATTATAAAATGCCAATATGAAATTAGAACTTACCTTTATCTTGCAAAAAATATGCGTTTCCTGATCCTACACATTGAAAAGACCTGAAAGTAGGGAAAACCCAATAACAATAAACACCCTTTGTGCCCAGATTATGGTTCCTAAACACCAGTAAAAGGAATGAGAGCTCCTTGGTTAAGAGTCTGACTTCAGGTTTGGGGCATGATATATGTAAGATATGTTAAATCTAAACTATCTATCTTGTCATACTTGAAAGCAAGGAATTTATCACTTTGGGGATCATGTCAAAAGAAAACTGAAGCTAACATGAAAAAGATCCCACTGACCAAGGGTGGGAAAACTTGAGCATCAAAAAGAAAAATGACCACAAAAGATTGAAATATATGAAATATATAAATATTTAAGAGTTCCAAATGATATCCCAAATTAAAATTAACTGGTCACTTTTAGAGGTTATTAGGCACAGCTTATTTTAGAAATATTGATAAATAAAATAATCATGTATTCTGCCTTTGCTGGAGAGACTTAAAGGAACTATTTCTTTTTTAAAAATTATAGTTGTAAACACTGGAATGATAGAAAAATCACAGCTTTGCAAACTGTAATGAAATAATGGATCTGAGCAACAGTCATCAATGACTGCTAAAACCATTAAGTCAGGCATTCCTACCTGGAGTCTGTTTTCTCCCCATTGGGCATCTGGCGATATCTGGAGATATTTTTTGTTGTCACAACAAAATGGCATGTGGGGGGGCAGGAGGGTCAAGGGTACCAGGGATGCTGCTAAATATCCTACAATGCACAAAACAGTTCCCCATAACAAGTATTATCTGGTCCAAGATATCAATTTATATGAGAAACTCTATGTTAG